ATCTAAATACAGACGATTCGAGAGCCTTCTTCTTTTTGGAAGTTATCGTTTTCATTTTTATTAAACATCAAAGGCATTCAATGATGAAAGAATTAGACGGTTGAATGAATCGGATTTTCTCACATCACGCTTATCAACCCAGTCACTTGGGGGAAAAGGATTGTTAGTAAAAAGGTAGAATAGTCTTATTGCTAGCAACATACTCTACCAAGTCGACCTCTGCGTGGTCACCCCTGGAAAGTGAAGGATAATAGATGAGGTTGAAAACAGATCTGTTAACCAATCTTAATAAATTAAACAAAAAATAACCACGTTTTGGTTTCCAAGTGGAATAGAGTGGAGATAGACCTGATGGGATGTATTGCTAGCAATGGACTCATTAGACCTCATTATTATTAATCCCTTTCCCCTGGCTTATTATACTATTTATTCTTATACCAACACCATCATTAGATATTAAACGGGAGAGTAAATGCTATAGAGTAAGTACATTAGGCGCTAACTGTACGTGCCTATTATTATTTGAAACAATTTGTCACGGCGTCTAGCTTCGATGCCCATTGTTGGGTTATGACACTCGTGGAGAGCTAATTTGCATTTTAGTTTTCACTTTTTTGTTGTTGGCAGTATATAAACACTTAGAGTTGGTTCTTACGTGCAGATCAATTTTATAGCATTATCTCAGTAAATAAATGCGATAGTTTGTGTGAATGTTTGAATGGATATTTGTTACTCTTTCACATAAAAAGTAGTGTATATATTTAAATGAAATTTGATACTAGTAAATAAGTTATTAACTTACAACTTAACCTTAACTATTTAAGTATGATTGATTTGACAGTTACAGTGTTTTTCTACGACAACTTTCAATTTTTTTCCCGCATAATGACATGTTTTGGCCACAGGTTGACCGGGAGAGAATGCTATATAGTATTAAGTCAGCATTTTGTACCAAGAGAGAGAGAGACTTTGTACAAAAGTCGATTGCTTGGGTACCTCTGTCCCATTCGTGTTTCAACCGTGAAGCAGTTGTGTTTACATAGCTGTGTTTCGGTTTGAAGGGTGGGATATGGCGTGAATTTACTGGGTACAGAGGAATAACACCTGAGTCCTCAGGAATGGCAACGCATGGGGGGTATCATGGGCAAAACAGTATAGAATATACTGTTATGTCCATGGTACTGCTCATGTCTATAGGCGACGGTTACCACTTTCCATCATGTGGGCCATCAGCTTGTTTGCCATTCTAAGTTGTATAAAAAAATTTTTTTTTGTAATGTGGTAAATAAAGAATATATAAATAAATTGAGTAATAAACAAACATCTTTAAAACTTTCACCTTTATAATATTGTAGTAAGATGTAAAAGATACTTTGTTTGTTTGTTACCTCCTAGTGTTTTAACGACTTAACCAAACGTCATGAAATTTGGTATCTCTACACACAGTAATCGGTTGTTTTTTACTCAATGGTGTTTAACTAGCTCAATGCATTTGAATGAAATTTAGTATACAGACGGATCGTTATCTTTGATTTATATATAGAAATAATAAGTCGAAAAGAAAAAAAACAGTAAACATATAGTAAAAAAAGTTGGTATATAATTGTACTTATGGTTTACATTTATTATTAATATTTGTTTTTTTTTTGTGGTTACAGAAACTACAAAAATTAAGTAGGTACTGTTTTAATCGACTTGGACGATTTTTCTTTATAAACGCATATAATGCGATCTCTTTTCCAATTTTGAACTAAATTTGATCATTATCATTGCAATCGATATAATCTTTGACATACGTAGTACCAATAGGTTTTTTGTAGCAAGTCTTTTGTTTTTTCATACAGTAGTATGTTAAGTTTTTTTGTTTTAATGGTTGATAATTTAATAGTAACCCTGCCTGCGCTAAGGGTATTCGCTGACGGGGAACTAGTGGGGGATGATAGGTGAGATAAAAAGGCAGGTCAGTTAGCCCATCGTGATGAATACACCTGGTTGAGTATATTGCTAGCAACAGAGGGGCTACCATGAAATGTTTTCCGAAATTTCGGAGCCGAACGAAACACAAATTTGATGTTAAAATTACATAATACATGACGTTTAAAATTATTTAAAATGTTAAAAAATCGTTCCTCTGAACTGTTACGATAGGATTTATGATAAACGAAATGTTAAGCTCCTTTTACTGGATCGATTTTGGTACGAACAAAAACATGGTATTGAGCCCGAACATTCGGAATTTCATTTCATGGTAGACCATCAGGGCCCTTAGTTTCCATTACTAACAATCCCTTCCTCCCAGTTTGTTAAGTTGTGACTCTTAACTAGGTCAGTCTTTTAAAATTTAGGTACTTATTAATATGTTAATAAGATAGTATTTATTTTCAATAGTTGCGGTAAATTATCACTACAGTAACATGTAATTGGCTAATTGGAACATCTTGGAATAACCGCATGTTTATTTTAATAAATGTGGGTTTATACGAATAAGCGGATAACCACAAAAGCTTGACTCGAAGGTTATCGGCTGCATGATGTAGTTTATTTTTTTTTTAGATGGGTCCTTGGCTCGGGTGCATATATATTTGTATATTTTTATCAGTTTTAAACAATTCTTACTAATATTATAAACATGAAAGTGAGTTTTGTTTATTTGTTTGTTATCTCTTGAAATATGGCATCTTGGCTTATCTATACTAAAATTACATATAAAATTAGCGTCACATTTTGGTTCTTTTGTTTTATACCACTGATGTGGCAAACAAGCATGCAGCCCACCTGATGGTAAGCGGTAACCGTAGCCTATCAACGCCTGCAACACCAGGGGTATTCTTACCTCTTTACCTCCCTTTTGAAGAATTTTTTGGTGCTTTAATGGCTCAACCAATCGTCATGAAATTAAGTATGAATGTAGTATTCGGAACGCTATTTTTTATCCTGGTCAATAGACGTTCCAAATGAAAGACATAATATTTACGTAATGCGAAAGTGAAACGATGTAGGTGTAAGCGGAGGTCTATATTAATTTATAATAATTCATCATTTCCACTGGTGTGGAGGACAAAATGATGAAGGTAAAGTTAGATTTGTTTCTTTTTTTATATCACAAAAATGGTGAACAGGCATACAGCTCTTCTGATAGTAAACGGTTACTATAGCCTATGGAGTTATGGACGCTTGCTGCACTATAAGTATCACGAGCGCGTTTGAAGAAACCTTAATAATTGTTTACCTATCGTGGTGAATTCATAAGGAGATAACTAAGTTGATTTCCAGGAGAGCGCGCGTGTAGATCAACCTGATAGTATACAATCTCTTTTCCCTGATAACAAGTACTTCTGGATATAGATAGAATCACTGGAACTGGTGTGTATATATGAGACGAGTTACGAAAGTGGATGAAAAAGAAATATACGTAGAGATACAAGTCTTGAAATACATTGATTCCTTCTGTGTGTATAGCGTGGCATACGGCAGTGTATTATTTTAGTGAGCTAGAATGGGATGGTAACCCCGCCTGCGCTATTGGTATACACTGGCGGGGTACAAGTGAAGGATGATAGGATCGGATCAGTTAGCCTATCGTGAGGAATTCTACAAGAATTAAATACGACGGTTTCCAGGGAACCGCGTGGAGGTCGACCTGGTAGAGTATATTGCTAGAAATGAGACTGGTAGACGCCATTACTAACATATTATAACTTACTTACATATTCTAAAAATGTTATAACCATTTTTAATACGCCTCTATTCAAAATATCGATATTGGTAACAATCATGAAAGACCCAGCTAGTTTATAGTGTAATAATAATTTATAGATTTCATAATTTTTTTAAAAATGTAATATTTTTTTCAAGTGACTTCAAAAAAAAGGAGGTTGTCAATTCGCTTGTATTTTTTTAAGTTCGCTCGTCGTCATATCTATTTGAAAAAAAAAATAACTTTTTTTATGAAAGGATATACTTACAGATTGGTCTGCTTTAGTTTTTAAATAAAAATAACTGGTTTTGCCACAAATTAAGTCTGTTTTTTTTTGTGCACCATCACAACACAATCTTAAACTGTAGGTATATCATAGATTATTTTTTTCATTTTCTTTTTTCCAACTAGGACAAGACAAGAGCGTACATTGCCACCAGTTCATCGAAAGTGTAAAAAAAGTAAAAAGTAGGGGAGGATGTAAATAAATATACGTGCGTGCTATTTGCGGCGCGAGGCGCGTGCGCGACGCGGCGCCGGCCGTCGCAGCGCCCGTCATAGATTCGGTAGCTTCAGACGTGCCGTAAACAAAGGACTACGACCTAGACTATGTATATTTGTATGGGTGACTTCACTAGGAGAAATGTCCAAATATATGGTATTCATGACGTGGTATGTGTGGCTGGATGGTATAATAAAATAATTTTATGTCATGTCTTCACTGTTCTTCGCAGTTGGTGGACGATTTTATAAAGTATTTTTTCACATATGGCCACGAATGCTCATTAAAGCGGACGCACTTTAGCAGAACTATTATGTCATCTGCTTTTAACTGTAATTTATTCAAGTTGGTATGGACAGTTACACCGATTTATGTATTCGTAATAGGTATATTTTTTACGATTATTTGACTGGCATATATTTTATATTATGTATATATCAATTTAATATCTTTAATCGAAATCATTCAAATTCTTGAAGAATCTAAATTCGCAGAAAATATAAAAAATAAGTTAATACCAAGCTGTCCTGTACCATTTCGTATTAAATAAGCTTTGATCCTCACTATGTAGTTGCTCTGCCTTTTAATATGCATTCCGCCCAACTCGAGTAAACTCAAGGTCGTGATTTATTGTAACTTTAGATGCTCTGAATGCATGTTCATGACGACTGACTGAATTTTATTGATGGAGCATGAAAGAAAAGTAAAAAATACGCACTGTACTTAGCACAACAAAGGGCGCTGTTATTAAAATTATTTATTAGAGATAAAGATGATATTAACAATTATATGACAATCCAGGAGGCCAGGGTCAGGAATAAGGAGATGGTCACAGAGGGCGGTGCACGGGGCCGGAGGCGCGGGCCGCGGGTCGCGGCGCCTCTCACCGTCGCGCCGCGCCGCAGTCCGCGCGAGGTGCCGCCGACGGTTCGTTGTCTACTCTGGTGTACCGTAGCCCGCATCGAAACACGCGATCGTCGCCTTTGTTTATTGTCATACGCGCGCTTCACTGCAGTCCAGCAGCAGCTGTTCACAGTGCCCCATCGTGTGTTGTTTCATCGTGTTAGTTTCATTAGGTTTATTCTGTGCGGTTTCAGTTAGCAGTGCGTATCAGCCAGTGCTTTTGTGTAATCAGCTGTGTGTGTAGATGGGGCATACGACGAGCCCCTGAAGCGGTCGGTGCGGTGCGCGCGCCTCCGCAGAGCTCGAGAGCGAGCGGCTCGACCATGGCGGCCACGGCCCGTCGTGAGATAGACACCGGCGAAGAGGACATCGCCGCTATCGCAAAACAAATTTCCGATCATGCTGAAGCCATTTACCAGACGTGGAAAGCGCGTGGCCTTGCGCCAACAGAAATATTGTCGTGTAGGCCTGCTCCAGGCATAAAACTGGCGGAAAGTTTGCGTACCAAACCGAAACCAGAGCCCAAGCCTGAAATTAAACAACGGCCAGACTTTAGGCGGGAGCATAGACCAGAATTAGTTCGTGAGCAGAGGCCGGATGTTAAGAGAGAGCGCTCTGATACGCGACGAGAGATCCGACCGGAGCCCGAGGGAGAGACGATAGAAGTGATATTACCTCCGGATTTGGTTCCTGAAAGAAACGGTACGGGTGGCGTCGGCGCAGGTGGACGGCGAACGGATCCTGCAGCAATGCGATTAGAAGTCGCTAGGGAGGAGGAAAGACTATTGAGAGCATTGCGTACAGGCGGTGTCGTAGCCGAACGTTCGGCCGAGAGGCCTGACGTAGTACCTCCGATATCGCTTGTAGATTATGCAAAAAGCCGGTATCAAGATAGATTGGATACTGGAGCAAGAAAGCCGGTAGCTGGTGCAAGTGGTGAACGACGAGCTTCCTTAGGGTCTCACGTCACAGAAGCTCGGTCCAAATTCGAAGCGCGCGCTCGTCGTGCGTCCAGCGCGGGCGCCGGTGAGACCGCTACGGCGTCCGCATCGGGAGTTACGCCTGTGCGCCCTTTCCTCACACGTGGGTCTGTCGCTGAAAGGGTGCTTATGTTTGAGCGATGTCCCAGCGAAGCCACTTTGGAATTAGCTAAAAGAAAGTCACCAGCAGCGACAACCTGGCGAGGGCCACACGATGTCATCAACAGAGCACAGGTATGTTGATATTATATTCAGTATTAAAAATGATTAAACTGCATTAAATAGAATTCTCTCCTGTAACGTAAGTTAGCTAGAATAACTATTTGGAAAGGCAAACAGTGGTACGAGTTCTGTAAACAGCGATTATTCGTAAATAATGTTTGTTGTCACGTTATGATCATACCTACATAAAAGCATTGAGTAGCAGCAAGCTAAAGCCATCTCTGTCGCATGTGATATACTCGTAGTGTACATAGGGATATGTAAATACGGACTACAACTGTTTTGTATTATCCAGTACGTCATGTTTGACATCATCTTCATACTTTGTTACGTGAATATATAAATACAATTACAAACAGTTCGCTAGTGTTTAAAAAAGCAATTCATAATAACAGTCTGTGACTAATTTTATACTCGAAAAGATGGATTGAACAGTTGGCTGAAAAGTAATAAGTTCAGAGCCTAAGGTCACAGCCATATTTTATACGCCATGTATAATTGAATTTTGGTGTATGGTAACATTTTCACAGATTAAGGAAATTTATTAAGTATTTTAAAGAAAATATTAAAATTAAAAATCTTAAAATTTAAAGAAATTTTTAAAATCAAGAATGTAATTTCAAGGGTTTAAAACTAGGTTTTTTTAGAGTTATAAGAATAAAATAAAGTTAGTACATTCGTACATTTATTAAAAACACAAAGTATGATTTGCCCATTTTGATACAGAATGAGTCCAATGAACTATTTAGTTGGATGTTAAGTGTTATTCAATCGACGTGTTTCGTATCTCTCTATGTAGTTGGGCATATGATGTACGTAGTATGGTTTGGGTCAATGCATTTTTGACAAATTGCCAGTATGTTGCGCGATGTACTTACCCTGCTGTATGAAGCTATACGTTCTATAATTCTAAATGTAGGGCTTAATGTGTCTTTGTTAATATTTTAATGGATAATTTTAGTTTCAACCTTAGGTGTCAACTTTGTATTTGCTTTGTGCGAAAGTTTAACATTGTAATTGTAATGAACATAAAGGTTGTTTCTGAAATTATAAAAAGGTTGACCGGATATTATGAATTATGTATCAGGTATGTATATTAGGCCTGATTAATTGCTTCAGCATCACACGGATAAAATAATTATTTATTTTTTACATAACGTCTTTTTAAACATTAAGTTTCAAATAATTCGCATGTTACAAGACCTACAAAAATTCTCAATAATACCTATTACAATAAGAAATGAATTCTGTGGCTTTGAGAATTTTACCAGTACAATATAATACGTTTATTTGTGGATATTTATTGAGTATATTTGAATTATTTTATGTACCTACAGCTTGAGACGAAATATCCCTTTTTTTGTATCGAGTGTAGCAACATGTGATAAATAATATTCGCTTTCTGTTATCTAATTTAATCTGTATTTTATTTGGTATTTTGCATTGTGTCATAGTTCAAGTTCATATTACGTTTCAGTATCCTTCAATGGGGTCGCGAGGTCATCATGCGGTTACAATTTTGTTAGTTAACGTTTGAATTAACTTTTTTATCCAACCTAATTTAATTTTGCATCAAAATGATTATGTCGAACGATGCCGAACTTTACAGTTGGTAACTGGTTAATGATTGTTTTATATAGATATAATTAAACCAGACAATAGATACGGGGATATATTTCTTGTAATTGAATTCGTAATTACTATATTCTTGTTTGTTTGGATTAGTCATCTCAAAGGTACATTGTCGATATTAACTCTTTATAAAGAACAGTATTGAGAATAACGGATGGGATGATGATGATGAAAGAATTGTGCAATGTTTACGTCCATTCGGTTTCAAAATTAATTTAAGACAGCAAGCCTTAATAAAAGGAATTCATCGAAATATCAACAAAATTTATAGTAAATATCTAATAATAATAATTCTAGGTGTTAAATAGGATAAAACTAAATCTAGATGTGTGTGTATTTTCGATTTGGGATGGAGAAGAAGAGAGGCTATTTTTGTTACGAAAAAATAAACAAAATAATTGTAATCAAATAAACAACTTTTATTTTGGTCAATCGATAAAGTTGTGGACAAAATCTATTAATTCTGGCATATAAAAATAAGATCTGCCGTGTGGTTTTGGCTTAGAGTGGGCCACCCCTTCCTTTTCTGTGGGTGTCGAAGGACTAAGGGTAGTTGATGGTCGAGGGATAGGCAGTAGCGTCCCTCTTAAAACATCACCAAAGTCTAACTGCGGTTGCCATACCCGCCTGCCAAGCATTCTAACTACTGGCAAAATCCCCCAATATGATGAGATCTATGTTCAGCAGTGGACAGTTAACGGGTGATATAATGATGATAAAAATAAGAACTCAGAAGGATTGTGTTTTGTATTTGTTGCCTCGGATTTGCTCAGTTTTATTCAGCAGTTTAAGCGTGTTTTAGTAACATACATCCAAACTTTCACATTTACAATACTAGTACGGTTTTATTATTATTGTTACGTGTTATATATATTTAATTTTTTTATTAAGCATATTTATTTATGAATATTTTAATAGAATTTTGTATTTTTCCACATGCACATATAAGGTTTCACTTTGATCTTAATAAGAATGGCATACATCTTCAAGTAACAGTATATTGTACGCATTTGGAATCACAAATGATTAGTAAGCAGGGTAATACTAGTATTCATGTCACGGAGTGACCAGGTGTAAGTTTTGTACCAATTTCGTCCATGTTTCCAATTTGAGAATTTCTCTCATTGTAAGTTTTGTATTGATGTCTGACTAAGCTGACTAACTAGGCGAGTATTTCTATTGATCAAATGCATCTAGATGGAGTATCGAATGGCAATACGTATTAATATCAGTTGATATTTCATAATGAGTGTATTGAGAAAAAAGAATTCCTTTATGAACACAATAAACTAAATGAGTATTCGTACTGTTATATACTCATTTATTTCAAATTCAGAACAAAAACTCCAACAACATTGTTTACTTTTTTTTATAACGAATGAATTGAACATTCATCAATCAATCACTCGATCATTTATTTGCATTCAAACGGTATTATTCTTAATCTATATATTCAAGTTTGCATTCTTGTCTTGTTTCTTATTTGTATTTATCTTACATAAATAACTGGAGTGCTTAGAAATTTCAATTACCTATCACTAAAGTATATATTTTATATCAGGGGTGGCCGACTTGACTAGACCCAAGATCTACTGTTTACTGACGAAACCCTGTGCGATCTACCAATTATATACTTCTTGAAATCTCAAATGAAGCAACATAGTTCAGTACAACATACTACAGTATTGTAGTATTTTTAATTTATTAAGAAGGAAAACATAACACTCAAAATTATTCTTAGTAACTACTTATTTATATCAGTGCGAGCTTTGCGTCTGAGCATCTTACGCTAGATTAGCAAAATATTATATTTTTTGCCTTACTACGATCGACTGGACTAATAGTCTGAACGATCGACCGGTTGGCCATCTCTGCTCTATATAAACGTGAAAAACTTAATTGTTTTAATAAATAAATATTTATATTCACATTCTGATCCAAATGATTCAGTCATTATCTAAAATCTACCACATTTATCTCAGTGTAGACAAACTATGAAGTAGACTTTTGGTTATTTGTTAATTTAAATATCTTAATACGGTAACTGATATACTTATCTTTAAATTTCATAGTTGTACATTTTGCGGGTATTATTTGTAAAGGTGAATAACCTTAAGTTGTTAGAAATGATAAGGCGCTTTATATGGGTTAGATATATTTTTCTATTTTTATACAATAACAGTTATGCTATAGGGGGCTTTGAAATTAATTTCTGTCTCTCTACTCCGCAAGGGACTTGGTGTGAAAATAGATAAATAGGCATACTTTACATTTTACTTTATTAACTTAATATTGACTATTCTTAGATGTTCTATTGTTTGGCGACATCTAACGTCATTATGTCTTTTTTTTAAAAACTGTCTGCGATCCGTAAATTTGTCTACGTGAATTAGGACTTATACTGATCTATGTTAATCTATAATATGGTTTATCTATCTATGCATAATTTTAAATCGAATCCCTTTAAGCATTTAAGCGTGATTGATGATCAAATATCCGAATATATTTACAAACTATAACATATATAAATTTAGTTGATATTTGCCACTATGCTCGCGTTAATTTATATTTCTAAATATTTTAATATATAAACATATAAATATCTTTACAAAATTTTATATTTAAGTATTACATACTAGTTTTTACCCGCGACTTCGTCTTTGTGACCGGGATATGTTCACTGACCGGGATAAAAAGTACGATATAACCTCCATGCCATATGGTACGTGTATATCAAATTTAATAGTAGTTGGTTAAACCGTTCAGGCTCTATAAGATAACAAATAAACAAACTTGTTTTCATATTTATTAATATTAAAATATGAAAGTGAGTTTGTTTGTAAGGATAATATGTAGAGGATATATATAAAAATAAAATAATAATATATAAATATGCCTAAAGCAGCTACATCGAGTACGTCAACATTTTTATATGATACAGAATTCAACTTTATCGTATTTGTGAATCGAAGAGGATACAGCGCAATTTTTATACACATTCAAAATATGGGTGAATTGAAAACTTCCTCCTTGTTAATGTTGCTTAAAAACTCACTACCGGTAAAAAAATCAATATCGATCAATGAACGAATTATACTTTCGATCTCCCATATGGATCCCCATAAGTATCCCTTTGTAAATTATTATAAGTGTAACGAATTATATAGGTATAATCAACATGTTAGTGAATTTCTTGTTGTAACTGTACTAGTTTAAATAATTTCGACACAAAAATAGATAAGCCTATGATGAATTTACTTAAACAAGATATATTTGAACAAGGGTGTATTTGTACTGATAAGTTATATACACGTAGTTTGACTAATAATGTTGTTAGAAAAATAATAGGATTTAAAGTATGTCTACCTACGTATTCTTTG